GGAGCGGGACGCAGCCCGATCTGCTCTCCTCCAGCACGGCTGTTTAAAAGCGTACTGATTTTGAAACGAGCAGCGTTGGCCAACGACGGTACCAGCGACCGACCGAAACGGGATTTTACGTCTTTTAATACTGCCTGGGAGCAGGGTGCCGAGGAATGTATTCCGCTGACAGCGTGTCGGGATTAGATATGTAGTAGTTTCACCCGTATTTGCTGTGTTTTTGTCGCTTTTGTTGCGTTTTTATTTTGTTGCTGGGGACCTCCTTGCTTCAACTCGGGAACTCTCCGTTGACATTCCCTCTCTTTGGCAGCTCCTCTGTTTTGCCGCAGTAAGTGTGGAGTTTGTGGACGTTAGAAAAACAGATTGTAAAAACAGAAACGTTGACGGCTCCAACGTTAGTCGTTGTCAGACGAATAAGTGTTTAAAGTCGCCTTGTTTTGGTTTGTTTTGCTGAGATTGTTGTTCACAGCTTTTCCTAAAAATGCAGTCAGTCAGCGTTTTGACACTGTTTCACTCCTCGCAAACGCCGAGATAACTGGCTACGACGTTGGAAAGAGAGGGAGAAGTTCAGATGGACTGTCGATAGCCAGTTATTTAGCCAGGTCAGTGAAGTAAACTAGCCCAGCCACTGTTAGAAAAGTCACGGACTTCCCTTTTAGTTGCTAGTTAAGCTAGTTAGCCAGGTAAGCTAGGTTAGCTGACTAACTAGTATTAGCCCAAACTAGTGTTTTGCTTCTGTGTACTGTTTGGCTGAAGTGCCCCTAAGTAGTGTGCTTGTGTTTACTGAGACCCGACCACGCGAGTCCACGGAGAGATTTGCTCTGTTTCCCCTACAGTGCGGAGGAAATGGCAACCGCTCTCAGTGGCCGGAGTATGGGCGGACGGGCGCCGAACCCGCGGAAAGGCCGGATTTTGGGCCTCATCGACGCCATCCAGGACGTGGTGGGACCCCCGAAACAAGCCGCCGCGGACAGGAGGACGGTAGAGAAAACGTGGAAACTCATGGATAAAGTGGTGAGAGAACCGCTCACGCCTTGTGTTTACACTAGAGATGGTTCAGTTCGATTCACTTTACCGAGCCGATTCTTCCGAGCGCTCCGTTTCAGTGAATCGAACGTCCGCTTCGACCATTGATTGACTCAGCTCAGGTCAGCTGTGTGAACTGAACTGAACTGAACTGAACTTATAAAACTGATGCGAGGTTTAGTTGCTTCCTGGCTTTCTTCTTGCTACTGATTCATCCTGCAATGTTATGAGCAACATGACAGGCTGGTTAACACACTTCTGAGTGAAATTACAATATGGGGTTGCACAAGATCATCTTCCAGCATGTGACCCTGTTACTAACCCTGGAATATGCTTTGAAGCAGGAGTTAATGTTGTTAAAACATGTTTACCCATTACGCAGCTTTGTGGCAAGGAACCTCAGTCTGATTGCAGAACATGCACCATCATGGTCTGTATTGAATGCCTAAAATCAGTTTGTGTTTTCTTTTATAGGTGAGGTTGTGTCAGAACCCCAGACTACAGCTGAAAAACAGCCCTCCTTACATCCTGGACATCCTGCCGGACACCTACCAGCACCTGAGGATGATCCTGTGCAAGTATGAGGAGAACCAGAAACTCGTGCAGCTCAGCGAGAACGATTACTTTAAGGTCTACATCGACAGCCTGATGAAGAAATCGAAAAGGGCTATCCGCCTCTTTAAAGAGGGCAAGGAGAGGATGTACGAGGAGCAGTCACAGGACAGGTAGGGGGTTTTGTCTGTCTGTTCAAACAGGACTAAAAGAGTGTTGTTTGCTTTCGTCTGCATGCATACGAAGAAGTGTTGATAAGGTTTTTTTGTACACTTCTTCTTGTCTTGTGGAGAATGTGGTCTATGTGTTTGTGGTTTCCAGCTGCCCAGGACGCAGTGCAGCATTGCTAGTTCCTCTGTGGATCGCTTATGTGTATTTTGACATACGCAGATGTTTTTCGTAAGGTAATTGAGTGTTAATGCTGTTTTCAGCCTAATCCTCGAGCCACCAATCTTAGACCGAGCCGCCAGGGGCAGTGGGGCTGGACAGGGAAAGGTCAGGTCATGTGACTTATGCTCAGTTTGTGACTTTAATCTGTTCTGGCCTTTAATTTGATCAAGAACAGCTGCTAATTGATGGAGAGTCAGCGCTCTGATGGGAAGAGCTGACCCATAGAGGACCAGGGGTCATACGAGTCAAACCCGTCAACCGAGTCAGGCCTCTGCTTTTCATAATTGGTGGTACTAATGAGTTCGGTTACAGAGCGAACTCGCCGATCAACACTTTTACATTTGAAGGGATTTGATTGATGCATATGGGTCAGAGCAGTGTGTGAGGATCCTCTGCATCTTCTAGGCAGCAGCACGGTCTGCTGATCTCAGTCATGCTTCCCATTCTCCCCACACTCAGTAATAAACGAGGGAAAATCTTAGTCTTCTGGTTTCCTCACAGCCAAATGTAACATTTCCAGAATCTGCTTGAAAATACAGCCTCACATTTGCAGCCATGCTGTATCTTGGCCCCGGACTATTTAGGTAAACACTGTACGTTTTGAAAAAAAGTTTGTGGAGTCGTTTGATATTGCCAGGAAATAACGGCGTTTTTGGTTGTTGGTTTGTTTCCCGGTATTTCTCTGTGTGGTGTGCGGTGCTGATTATGGATGCGCTCTTGGCAGAAGTGTTTAATTTGGGGGAATTGACAGCGCTCCCTCACACTGACCTCAGACTCCCTGCTCTCCGCAGGGGAGGCATAATGGAGAAAACAGGCTTTGCAGATGAGGGGCTGCCTGTGCGCCTGTGTTTGTCTGTTTGTTTTTGTACATTGCCAGCACAAAATAGCCTGACTTTGTAGGAAAATTAGAGAAAAACAAGACAAACATACAACATTAGGACTAACAGAATGACTTAGAACTAAGAAAATCCTGGCTTTGTGAAGTGCCTTTGATGAAAGCATTTCTTTAGTTGGTTACTGAGGTTAAGGTTAGGCTTTGAGTTCGGCTTTGTTGACATCATTTGACGTTTTTGATGTTACGTGACGCGCTGCTGTTCAGAAGCACTGTTTTCATTTATAAAAACCCATTTTGTTGTGGTTACTTATGAGTGCAGGTATAAAATGATTTTAATGTGATGCTAAATTAATTTTAAGGAATTCCACAAATTAGGAAATTTCCCAGATTCCATATTAATTGTGAAAGCTGTATAGTAGGGATGCACTAATATGAGAATTGTGGTCAGATGCCGATATCTGGTGTTTTTCATGTACATATCTGTCAGTGTCGACACATCGACGCAGATACATGAACATTTACATAATGTAGAAACTGGAACTACATTAATCAGCATTACAGAGAAATGTAACATTTTATTTCTGTGGGGTTATGAATACAGTAAAATGAATAAAAATGTATTTTACTACAGCTAAACATCCTACGTTTCCAGAGTAAATACATCATTAAGGATAGCAGTCAAATCCAAACATCTCTCTGATAGCGAATTTTTTTTTTTAGCATAGCAAATGCCTGCAGTTTCCGATATCATGGTGCATCCTTTACTGAAAGTATCAAGAATGAACTTTATATTAAAATCAATATCCATAATACCTCACATTTGATAGGTGGTGACTGAATCTTGTTACTCAAACAGCCGTTCATAGCATTGTAATGAACTGAAATTGCTATAAATAGGCTATTACTGTTTGTTATTGCTAAAATTAGCTTTTTATGTGTCATAGCTTTTTTGTTGTCCTCAAAATTCTTTAGCCGGTGAACAAATCTTGGGTTTACAGTTGAATGCGAAAGTTTAAACGCTCTTGGTTAAACAACGTTTTGTTGATTTTCTAAGTGAAAAGACGTTAACACGTCCTCCACAGAGACACCCTGAAATATGGTATTTTTCTGTAAATTGCGGTGCACGATTTCTGTTTATTAGCTCGGTTCAACTTATATAAAGAGTGCTGTAACTTTTGCACAGGCCGCATTTGATGTTTGTTTTCTCAGTTGTGTTAACTTCAGCAAATAAACAGTAATTCTGCATTAAAATGTGCAGCAGTCGGTTCTCTGTGGAGGATGTATTCACTTATTTTCTCTTAGAAAATCAAGAAAATGTGATTTGCACATTTGCAAGACTGCATCTTATGATGTGTAGTGTATAGCCTTTCCAGCTATACTGTACATTTGATAACATTTATAAGACAAATGATTCCAGACTTGTAAGTGATGAGGAATATATGATACATAGGGGACATATGCATGATCTCATGTCCTGACACTGTATAAAAACAAACCTGTGTGTGTTAGTTTGGAGTGATGGAGATGAGAAAACAGTGGGTGAGAGGCTGAGTGTGTGTGTGTGTGTGTGTGTGTGTGTGTGTGTGTGTGTGTGTGTGTGTGTTTGGGGTGAGAGGGAGGTAGAGGAGCATTTGTTAGCCCGGGGACTCAGGCTGACAGGCTGTTCTGACACACTGCCGTAGTGCCAGAGCCTGTGACACTCTTAGCGCGGAGGTATTGGCTGATGGCCTGCCATGGCTGCCATGTCTCTGTGTCTTAAATCTCAGAGGAGAAGTCCGCTGCCCTCTGGGTCTCATTGCACGGGCCCACAAAACAAGGAACATTTCTCTTTAGAGACAAAAGGAGTGGAGAGCTGAGGAGACCAGGGCCTGACCGATGTATTGGTCAGCCAGTAGCATCGGCTGTGGTTTTATTAGTGTTGGAGAAATTCCTGCTGCTAAGATGGCATATTGAAACAAACTGCTGACGTGACGAAAACTGTTCTGATTTGAGGGTTTAATGTTTTGTTGCTCACATTTCAGTCTTTATAGCAGCTTCTGAAATCAGACAGCTGCTCATTTCTAACAGTGAAGTACATGCTGAGCTGGTAATATGGAGTAAAATAATTTTGGGTGATATTATTGGAATTTATAGCTTTTTAAAATCAGTGTCAGTGTTGCTCACTACTAGGGCTGAACGATTTAGGGAAAATGGCAAATTGCGATTTTTTTTCCGGCTTAAAATTTTGATTATTTTCTATAAATTGAGGTTCAGACCTGTTTTTTTAACCAAAAAGACCAGAATATCCACTTTTTCTGGCTTGAAGCTTGACCCCTTAATGTAGTGTGCCAGAGAGCCAATAAGTTGTGGTTGTGATGTCACAACAGATGGAGCTTTGGCTGCCTCTGATTGGTCTGTTAACTCTACAGGCTGTATACAGGTCTGTGTTAGGGAAAATTCCCCTTCTTAAAACTTTTGTTGTAATGTTTTCGATAAAGTAGGTGGTAAGTTTTAAAAATTGCAGCTCTTGTGATTTTTAAATAGCATTTCCTTAAATTGTGATTTCGATATAAATGATTAATCTCTCAGCCCTAGAGAAGAGAGGAGGGATATGCATTGTATGTGAGTCTGAAATAATAAGAAAAGTTTAAAGCACTGACGGAAATGAAGCGAAGCTGAGGCGCTGGAGTATATCAGCATGAAGAAGCTGAAGTGGCTCCCAGTTTGCAGTCTGGCCTCCGCACGCTGCACGTGTGCTTTAGTAATTACACTTCACCTCCTGATCCCAGCCATGGGACTCTCTCCGTCTGCTGTAAATATCACCCCTGCTGCAAGCTGCCAGGCTCCAGCCTTATGCGAGCTGTGGGAGAGGAAATGCTGAAAAACATACAAGGATATATATAAAAGTTTGAACACCGCTAGTTAAATGAACACGCCTCTTCAGAGAACTTATAAAAGGCATTTTTCTGCACATTTTAATGCACAAATTCACATTTCCTATTTATTTGCTGAGGTTAATTAACATTGGGAAAAAAATAAGAGGTAACAATTAGCAAATAAGCACTAAACATGGATTAAAATGTGCAGACATGCATTCATATGGAGGATGTGTACTTATTTTCATGTAATCTGTGTGTTTGTGTGTGTGTGTGTGTGTGTGTGTGTGTGTGTGTGTGTGTGTGTGTGTTTATGTGAAGATTTTATTCCAAAAAGCTGTAAATCCATTTGTCACAGCTTTGGATGTAAAGACGTTTGAAAAGATTAACAGCTGATATTTAACACACAGTCAAAAACACAATCGCTGCTGTCGGAAGAAAACCTCGTATCTCCAAAATGGTAACTTTACAGGAGAAGGAAAAAAGCTCATTTCATTTTAATGTAAGTCAATGGAACCAGACGTTTTCCCAAGCCATTCTGGGCCGTTTCTTTTAGTCCATTCATCATGAAATTTACATACAATATAAAGGGCAACAGGTATTTTCAAATTATGTGAAAAAATGAAAAACATCAAAAATGGAGATACGAGGTTTTCTCCCGACAACGTTGATATATTCTCTAATATGGGTGTTACTATTGATATTTCTTGTATGTGTTTCTTGTATAAGCTCTCTCTTAACAAATGATTCATTAAAAACCATGAAAGTGGCATTTAACTTGTTTTTGAACCAAGCGTTCATATATAAAATATTCCTTATAAACTTTTTCAGACTGAATCTGAACATATATTGTCTCCATATAGAAACTAGTTAAAAAAAATAAAAAGAATATAATTAGTAGATGCCTTAATGTTGTTAGTTTTTTATGCTGTTCTTTTCCCTGTGGACCACATTTACTATTATATGCACAATTATTTATATAATTAGGCTTAATGTTTTTTGTGTTTCCTTTTATTTGATGTCATTGTTATAATGGTTAGCGCAGCCTGGATAAAAGCTGTTCTCTGGCACCAATTTGCACACGCTGGAAATC